GCCTTCGTGAGTTGGTGTTCAGTGAAAGGAGCTGCAGCTCACTACTTCAGTGAAAATACTTTACTGTAATACACAAACTAATCCATTTTACCACAATTTATGTTACTACGCTATGTGAATTTACTAAATTCAGGGCTCTTTCACACCTACCTTCTTTGGTTAGGGCCTATCAAACTTTTTCTTTGGTCTGTTTTGACGTGGAAACACTCGAGCCAAGTCCACACCAAACAACTAAACTGTGGTCCAGCAAAAATCAACATGCTCATGTTGTTCTTGCAGCAAGAACTGCTAAACTAACTGCAAAGCAAAAAATAACAAGGATTTGCATTTGATTTTGGCTCATGGATCTCGGAGTGTGTTTTTGGCCAAGCATCAGTGACCAGATTGGCTAAATTTAAATTGCTAAACCAATCATAAAAAAGCAGATATCAAGAAAGGTTTGTTATTTTTATTGCTTTGATTGTAGATCACGTAAACAATAAGCATATTTAATTTCTATTTTCACAGTGCAATTATTAGAATAACAAAGCGCTTCCATCCCTGCAAAATGTCTGACCAATAAATGAACCCGTTGCATGGGTAATTTGGTCCAAGCTTTTTTCAAATTTTCTAATTAAAATTTTGACCATTGCAGTGTTAAATCAACTGAACCAAATGAAAAAGATCCAATATCACAAAAACTCAGGTGCGGATGTTCTTCAGCGATGTAAGCTAGCAAAGTTTGCTATCTGAGGCTGAACCTAGTAAAGCACAGGATCAAAACACTGACAATGTTCATCAATAGGCTTATAGCATTAGCATAAAAGATAGTCAGCCAGCTACATTTTTAGGGGTCCAAGCACTAAAGGTTTTGTCTGATGGCGATCAAATTTGGAGAATAAGCACAGACTTATTACCTGAGGAAGCATGCAAAATATGGTTTGAATAGGCCTCAGTGGGCCATCACGGTGCTCAGGCAAGAGCAAATTTAGTAAACATTTAAATATCTCTTTTTGAGCATGCCTTTTTGACCACTAGATGGTCTTTACATCATACGACTGACAACCTCACCAAAATACCTGCAAGCTTTATGGTAATTTAGAGGCTTTGGCAGTTTTAGGCTACAGTTTGAGTAGCTGATGTTGGTATATAACAGTGTTAAGGTTTAATACTAGACTTACTTTAATGTGACATCAATTCAGTGCACAGTGTTAGACTGTTTGTAGCATGGATGTAGCATTATTCATATTTTGACTGCTAAACGACCTCATATTTCAGAGGATTAAGTGAGGCCTCAGACGTCTATATAAAAACAGATATATATTGGAGCATTGCACTTTAACCTCAGAGGGTCAGACGTGACCTTCTAACAGAAATGTCTGGGGTAAGCATGAGAAATTTTGGGCTGAATGTTGGTGGGAATATAGACTTATTTATTTCACACCAGTTCAGCACTTGTGAAGGTGGAGCTCTAAGCATATAAGTAATGGTATGCTCGTCAACATTGTCCAATGGACAATACATCTGTCATGAGCCCATGGATGTAACGTAAGTTAGCATGAAAAGTCCCCCCAAAAATGTCCACATTAAGCATGTAGATGTGTGTTGTGTGCGCAGAGAACACATGTGAAGCTGCTCCAACATACAATACAGTATGGTAAATACTACTAGACCTATTTTTATCAACATATAAATGGCACATACTGTGCTGTGTCATATAATCATCATATACATGCTCTTCTAGTCATTGGTGTGGAACCCTTTACTTTGATAGCAGCCTTTCTTTATCAACACTCGTGACAAGAATGCTAATTTCTGCTAGTGGGGAAACTGAAATTCTCCTTTATATGCCTGCATCAAGATAGCAGAAGCGTTCGGTAATAATATGGTCTGGACGTGGACTGATAAATAAAGCTTGTAGCAGACATTTAGATAACCTTTTTACTTTGTACACTGAATCATTCAGTAAGCATTTTCAACTTATCGCCAAAGTGCAGACTTGCCTATTAGCTCAATAATGTAGTTTTCTGCACAGCTCAGCTTAAGCTTGAGATGCTTTTATGCCTTTTATTTCATACACATTAGGTTTGTGACTGCAAACATAAGTGTATTTGTGAGTCTGAACTACTTTTTTTTCTTCTGTAAGCTGGGTGGAACATGACTTTTCATCTTTCTGTTGGACAACAGGTTACCCGCTCCTCCTTCTGCCGTGCTGCGGCTGTGGTGATTGTTTAAAAGCTCTCCTCAACGGAGGGATCGCATTATGGGATTGGAGAGTGAGAGTGCAGTGGGACTTTGTGAAAGCAAGTGTACACGAAAACATGCATGTAAAACCACTGAATACCAAATTATGAGTACTGGCTACTAACAAAAGTGTTTCGCTAGCTAGTTTGTTTTGCTCGTGTTATCATTTGCACACCAACGTTAAAAGACTGGAACACATTCGAGGAATTTGGTTAGCCATGATGGAAAACGAAAAGAAAAATAATAAACTAAGAGTCTGCTGGTTCCTAGTGGTGTCCAGTAGTCACTAATGGTATTCTGTGCTTTCCTGATGGGTTGATATCACAGTGTAAAGGATTCTAATGGTTCAACAGGTGTTCTGGGACTGATAACAGATACAGTTGATGGTTTCCTAATGTGATCTAAAGGTGTCCTACAAAACTAGTGATCTCTAATGGTAACCATTTAAACCAATTCCCATTAAAAACGCAAAATCAGATTTTTGTTCCAGTGGTTCTAATGGTATTTTTTCAGTAGAGGAAACTCAAAGCATTCAGTGTCTTCACAAACAGGACTTTGGTATTATGTCACAGGGGAACTGTTGTCACTGCAGAGTAAATGAGTAGGTGAGAGCTGTCATTTGTAAAGGCATGGCTGAAATGTTGCACTGTAGGGTATTTGCTCAGTCCTGTTTAAAGGCAGGGGCCAACAAGCCTGTTAGAACATTCGTGGAACAGGTATGGTAACTATGTTGACTGTCTGACGCAAACACACCTACTCACCCACTTACAGGCCTGCCACAGTCACCTTAAAGTAGGCCTAAAAAGGCCTTTTTCTCATCTTTCTTAACAATATGTGCAAAGATCAAGCCAAAGATACCTGAGATACCTCAGATATGTTGCTAAATGGAATGGAAAAACCTTTGGGTGGAATGGCCCTCAAGGACTGGGTTGAAAACCTGCGGCCTAGACTTGATCAATATTAAGGAAATGTATGTTTTCTTGAGCAAATATGCTCTTGCTATTTGCTTTAATCAACTTCAGCATGCTCGTCCACAAACGTGTTAAGATGACTTGCCTATATGTGTTGTGCTTGGGAAACAATGTTGAAAACTGTTCTCTTAAGTTGAAAAGTAAAAAAAAATACAGCCTAACATGTAAATAACACTGGTAAACACACTTCTTGTCGCATGTAAAGTAAACTAAGCCTATTTTGTACGTTAAATTAAATTTTGCATTTGTTTTTGAAGCACTGTGTCCAAAAAGAGTTGCAACATGTCACTTACTCCCATGAAAACACAAAAATGGTAAACACATCCATTGGAAAACGTTTTTTACATTTTCGACTACTCAAAAGAGAAGCAAAATAAAGCAAAATTTTAACTACTGTAACACTACAGGAGAAGGAAAAAATCATTCTTGACTTTGAATAGAAGTTAATGGAACTCCATTTTTTTTCAAGCTCTTTTGGATCTGTTTTTCCATTCATCATGAAATTTGGGCACGTTGTAAAGGTCAGCTAACATTTTCAAATTCTGTTAAAAAAATACAAAATAGCCAAAACGGAGCTATGAGGTCTAATTTAACTACACAGTTACCTTATGTATGTTTTAATGTAAACTTAACTGTGTTTTCTATAGATTTTCAGTTGTGGGTCTCATAAAATGTATGGGTGATAGAAAAAAAATCAATTACTGTGATGTTAGATTCACTTTGTGGCATGTGCCCGCCCCTCGGCCCCGCGGATGACGGCCGCGAGAGCGAGCAGGAAGGCGGGGCCCGAACACCCAGCGGCGACGAACCTCGGCCAGGACGGCAGGGAGAGAGCCGCGAGTGGGGAGGGGGCGGAGCGCAAAGCCACACACTTTATTTAAGTTTATTTATTAAAAAAAAGGTTATTTCAAAGCCTGCTTTGCAAGTCTATGGGACCACACCCTGCTAGCAACATGCTAACTTGATATATGTAGATCAAGTCGGTGTTTCTCCGTTTTTGTGTGATATGAACGCTAGAGGGCGCTCCCGAGTGAGTCCAAAATGAATGGGTTGATACAGAGCATTTGAGCAAAATCATAGTTTATAAATGCTTAAACATTTTTAATGTAAAAGAATACATTTATTTCCTGAACACTGAACATCATAAAACATTTTAACACCGCTGTTATATTTTTAAGAGCTTTTAAACTCGAGTTATAGGAGTTTAAAACGGCGCCTCGTGTACGTCCATGACGTCAGTGAGCGCGAACATCCAATGAGCTGCTCCGCTCGCCAACCAATCAGCACTCAGTAATGCAAACCAAGCAGGACTCAGTAGCAGTAATGCTAAAGTCCTGCTGCCCAGAACCTATTTGCTGTAGAAAAAAGGAAACATACTGGTGAGTTTTCTTTGCTTTTTTTTAGTGAAATACATCCTTCTACTTTCTAAAATTAAAGGAAAGTTCTGGGTGAGTGATTACAAACTATTTTATCTCATAAACCGAAAATCTCTGTCCCTTTCACAGCCTAATGTTGGCTGGTTTGCATCTTTGACAAATAAAAACACTCTGTAGGTTAACATGACGCCACCATCTTTTTGTGTAGTGGATTTAATTGGACAGTAGCTAGATGGCCACGCCCACATGACAAAAATCAACACCTATAACGTCAGTGTGACTTTATTTTTTACCCACCCGTTTTCCGCGAAGCACGGCTTGGGTACAGACTCAGAAGCCAATCGGAGCGCAGAAGGCGCGATGGCATCAGCCAATCACAGTGCAGGGAGGGCGGGTATTGACGGAATACGGGCGGGGGAAAAGTACCGCTGTGTATATATGAGCAGCGTCCAGCTCTCCGCTCTGAGTCTCCGCCGTCAGTCAGAGCAAACCTCGGTAAGTGAAGAGCCGAACTTTGTGAACGTATTTTGCCTTTTTCCTCAACTTGTGGACATTTCTGGAACTTTCTGAGGGCAGATTAGTTCTCCGGTGTTGTAGTAGGCTTGTTGAAGTTGTTATGTTTTGGCGTTGTTGAAGTTGCAAAGACGCAGCTGTTTAAATTTAAGACTTTACAGACACGAAAAGTGTCTTTTTATTCACTTTAAAACTGTGTTTAGTCGGTTGGAGTAAAAAAAGCTATAAAAAACGGTGGTCTGTTAGCAGACAGGCGTGGTCCTTGCTCCGTATACACCCTTGGTTCTTCAATGGGTGGAGGATGTTTAGTATATGGTTCTGTCTAGAACCTTTTTGAAAACAGTTCTATATAGCACCAAAGAGGGTTCTGCTGTTGTCAAGCTTGTACCAGTAGCAGAACCCCTTTTGGTGCTATATAGAGCTATTTTCAAAAAGGTTCTATACAGAACCATTTCAAAAAGGTTCTGTATAGAACCACATAAAGCACGTTCTCCATCAATCTGAAGAACCATTTCACCATACAAAGAAGAATTTAAGCACAAAATTTGCTCAGATGCTTTAAATGGTGGTCTGTTAGCAGATAGGTGTGGTCCTTGCTCCATATATACACTTAAATGGGATGGTTCTTCAAGGATTCTTTAGTAAAGGCAGTGGTTCTGTATAGACCATGGGTTCTGTATAGAACCATGGTGAAATGTGTTGTGTATGGTTCTATATAGAACATAAAGAACAAAAAGCATTCTAAATAGAACCATTGCCTTTACTACAAACCCTCAAAGCACCATCTTTTTGAGTGTTTAGGCCACTGATTACATGTATTAAGATAGTCTGTGGTTAAATGATGTGGAGAAATAGTGATGAGGGTGGAGAACATGGTTCTCATGAGGAGGAACATTTCGAGGAGCATGAACTAAGCTCATAAATGTGTTCCAGGTAAAGTGCCAACAGGTTAAGTACATACTTGAGGCGTATTTGTATCACGTTCCTATGCGTGCTTGCTTTTCTATTCCCAGCTTGGCCTTAGAGAAGGTGCATAATTGTTGGCAACCTGCTGGACGCACATGCAGGAGTTCCGAGTCATTTGTATTGTGTGCAGTGAGTTTAGCTGTAACATGAGTCTGTGGTGTTATAAAAGAGAACGTAACATGATTTGTGACAGCTTTATGCGAATGAATCTGCAGTCTATCAAGCCCATCAGGCCCTGCACAGCACTTCATGCCTCCTTGCATCTCTAAGATTTCTATCCTCAGTCAGTCATGACCCTTTTTTCTGTCTGATTTATGAGAAAAGTTTACTACAGTATCATGTTGACCAGGTTTTATTTGTGCAGATCTGCCCAACATGTCCTTCATCCACGCATTTCTCGAGCAGACCATCTATCTGGGCGGGGCCGATGACTTGGTAAGTTTCCATAGCAGTTTGCTGGAGTGAGGAGTGATAAGCAACTCCCTTTTTTCTTTCTCTTTTTTTCCCGTTTCCCGCAGCGTGTGGAAAAATTGAGAAGTGTAGAGAGAGAGAGAGTGAGTAATAAAAGAGGAAGAGAGAAGAAGGAGAGATAGGGAGGGTGGGAGAAAAAGAGAACAAGAAGAGGGGAGGAGGATGAGGAGGAGAAGAAAAGTGCTAGAAAGAGAACCCACATGCAGGAGCGTATGAGTCAGAGGTATGCCGAACCCCTCCCATTGTACCCCGTCATCCTTTTTGGTGGGAGAGGAAAAGGCCTTAACTGTTTCTGCCCTCGCTACACGCCCTCTGGAGCTCTGTTAGACAGATGATACAGTCTGGTGCCTCAGTGGAGGGGAGTTTGGGGGTCTGTACCCACCCAATCAGAATTCCACTGATTTCTGCATAGTTCAGGTGTTGAAATGAAAGGAGTTTGATGAAATGTGGTTCTTTGAGAAACTTGCAAACTCCCAGTTTACAGTGGAGGTGATAGGAACACAAATACAGCCATGTTATTTACATTGCACAATGGCCAGTGAGTCCATACAGGTCTAAACATGTAATGTTGAGTGTAAAAATCGTGGAAAATCTGGAAAAAATCAACAAAAAGGTACTGTTTGGGGACTATTTTGCCTTACCACGCCCAACATGCATCTCTTCGCCTTGAGTGTATTTCAGAAAATGTTTTAAGCCAAAAATATCTCAAAACTATTGTAAAACAGGAAAACTATTCAAAGCCATTTCAAAGCCAATAAGGAGGTGGACGTCTGGTTCCATTCACCACCACTGTGAACAGTTCTGACCCAGTAAGTTTCTCTAAAACGGAGCATTTCGCACCAAACCATTCGGAATGACTTTGTTTACATCTGAACCAGTTAATTATACCATTTTAAGTATTCATAACCTCTGAATATTTAGTTTGGCACATAAGAAGCTCCCAATGTTGTTGATATTAGCGAACCTGTATGACCACTACAGCAAAGTTGGGTAATTCTATTTTTAAACTGCTTATACCTTCAAGATTAACAGTTCAGTTGCTAAAAACAGTGAACCTCTTGTAATATTGAAGATTTTAAGATAAATGGCAGCAGTTTTGGAGGAATATATTCTAGTAATTTAATGACTTTTGTAAAAAGTTCTTGTCATGAACATGTGCACAATTTAGCACCATTTAATGAAAAATGTCTACGTAATAAGTAGCCTTTTGTTTGCCACTGCTATACTAATGCTACTTTCTAGCATCTTGTGCAATTTGCAGTATTTCTGTTAGCACCAAGCTAGCAGTATCATTTTCCCAGTCTGGGTTTAATACCACTTATGGCAGCTGTAGGTGTTTAGGTTCAGTCTGTTTGTATTTACTGCTATTTAAAATGAGCATACGATCTCACATCTCACATAAAAGCTGACGCTGTGTAGCGGTACAGCTAAACACACTGGCCCTCAGCATCTCCTACACTGCAGTAATACAGCATTTAATTTTATTTTAGGAAAATAATCACACTACACAATCGCATCATTCTTCCTTCTTTAAAGAGACATTTCTTTGGATACTCTTTACATTCTAAATGGCCATCAAGAATCATTTTTTAGAATCGTTTTTGTTACTGTCCAGATAGTTTATACTGTACATTTCAGTTTATATTACCCCGAGTTACTACGGATGACCCTGTAGTGCCTCTTGATTGAGTTATTTGCTGCGAGTCTGTTCTAGGTCACGAAGGTGTGTTTCGTTTTTATAAAGGGGGTGTGTTTGTCTGCACATTCTTTAAAACCTCTTGTTGTCTTTAGATTTCCCACACATGCATTGCTGTGGTAGGGTGTGTGGGGCCTGTTGACTTTTTAACAGGGTGTGTTTGGTGTGTGCAGTCTGTCCAGGGAACGGTGAGGCCTTTTCCTCAGTTCAGCGCCAGCGGAGATGCTGCAGTGCTGGACAAAGCCATCAAGGCGAAGGGTCAGTACTGTAATGGATCCTGAAATTTGAAGATTAATCTGATGATTAGTTGCCATAAAACTAAGTAGGAGTAACAATTTAATTGTCTCTTTTCTTTGTTCACAGCCCTGTTCACAGTATGCACAGTGGTTGAGTTGTACTAAAATAACTGGGTATAGGTTAAATTGACATCTAGCTGTCTTTTCAGATATGTTGTCTTATATTGTGCCATTTGTTATTTCAGAGAAGGCCTGATAACTTCATCGAACTACAAAATACGTGTCTAATTTTTAACTCATTTTATTTAATAGAATCATCACGCTTGTCATTCATAAGTATTGTAGTAACACTCATTTGATTCATTGGAATCGAAAAGGGTTTGAATCTTCAAACGCCCAACAGAAAATTCTCCAATCAGGATTTTTTCCCTGTTGGTATCTAGATAGATACAGTTGAGCTTTCCCATTGGTTGGGCCTTCAGGAGCTGAACAGAAAGCTATAAACTATCAGCATAATTAAGAACTGATAATTAAATCAACTAGTGACATTTTGATTTACAGTGGGTTGGACAAATTTAATGAGAAATGTCATTCTAGTCCTTCTGGAAGTTCTAGATACATCACTGACTCCGAATATGAACTGTAGCCTAACCAGGCTTTAGTGAATCAGAAAACAGTGGCAGCTCTATGTGGGAGCTCTTCTCTGGAAAACAGCTACATACAAGGGCAAATATATGTTAATATCTGTTAATTACTTTAGTTGTCCATGTTTACTCTAGAATGGTCAAAAAATGCACAAATGCACGAGTGTTATAGCTAACATACTATTAGAAATCCCATAGGGGTGCTAGCAGAAATTAGCATTATTGTAAAGATCTTTTTCTCTCGTTACTTTTGAGTTTTGACATTTATGGCCCAGTCGTGGTTGCCAGATATGACTGTAATTTTGTGTTCATTTCTATATTGTGATGGTTTCAGGTGTGGATGAGGCCACTATCATCGAGGTGCTTGCAAAGAGGAGCAATGACCAGCGGCAGCAGATCAAAGCCGCCTATCAGCAGGCTTCTGGCAAGGTAAAATCTCGAACCTATGTGCTCTCGCTCATTAAAGTAAACCAGTAAAACTCTCACTCACACACACTTGCGCAAGTCCAAGCCACGGGATGTAGTAATGTTTGCCAGTAAGGCCATTAAAGGCACTCACTCATTGAAGCCGAGGCACACTCTGTAGCTTTTAGGCTTACCTGAAGTACATGAAGCAACTTGCAGAAGCCTTGAGACCCACTCACTCAAAGTCAATACAAGGCTCAGTCACTCAGTAAAGCTGTTAAAGCCTGACACGCCCACATACTCGCTCACTTTCTCTCAACATGTACCACACCTATTGTGTTGTCACAGTGACTTCTGTCTTTCATTAAAGCAGTTCATACGGGTTTTTCTTTATTTTGTGCTCTCTTACAGAATGTAGAATAAATATAGATACATTAAAATAATTGAATGGTTAAAATATTGAATGGTAAATGCAGTATTTTGAATCAAATCGAAACGGTCTTATTTCTTTTTCAAAAAGGTTGTTGATATCTTGTGAGCTAGAAAGCACAATTATGGTTCCAGATTTCTTCTTGATGCTCCCAGCCCCAGCCATCTCATTGATTTGTTAAATTCCATTAGGGATTGGGTGACAGCTACAAATAATACTGGGCATAAACATGTTGTCATACATAAAATCACTACTAATGGTCTTAATGTTTTTGTAATGTGAAAAAAATGTATTTATTATAATATTAGCTTTTCAGAGCAAAAATAGTTTTAGACCTACATATGCATCAGCTTCACTGTTACATTTGCTCTAAATCTGCAAATTTTAGATGTTTAAGCCTAAGCATTTAGATCACTCTGTCTTCTGTCTCCTGTGTGCAGCCCCTGGATGCAGCTCTGAAGTCTGCTCTAAGTGGTGAGCTGGAGGATGTGGTCCTGGCCTTGCTGAAGACTCCTGCCCAGTACGATGCCCAGCAGCTCAAACTGGCCATGAAGGTGAGTGACGGCATGCTGACGCATCTCATTGTAAAACTGAATTCAGTGTGTGTCTTCCTGAGTTGGGTGGTGCTTATTGAAAATAATTATTGCCGTTGGAACAAAACATACATATGTTGCGAAAGATAGCTTTATAGTAGAATGAAAGAAGTTTAATAGTAAGTTAATGTAACAAGATTTTATTTTGGACCATTTGTATCTCCATTTATCATGAACTTTCCACACAATATAAAGGACAGCTGGTTTTCAAATTGTGTAAAAAAAACAAAAAAAACAAAACAAAAATGGACAAGAATGGACTATTAGAAATGGTTCTTAGCCAGAGCTTCTCAGTCCCATGATTACAGTACTGCTGCAGTGCACTGTTGAGTGCTTTCTCAGTCGTAGCATAGCTAATTTAACTCGTTTCCTTTGAATCGGCATTTAAATGGCCTAAAACTACAATTTAATAGGTTATTTGTTATGTTATATTCTGTAGCACAGTATTGCATCCCTCAGTCTCATCAGTTTGAGTGTTTTTCAACCCTCAGTGTTCTATCACTACAATACCCAGTGTGTATTGCGTAAATATGTCATACAACCATCAGGAATCCCCATCCCCAAAGGCAATAAATAAATGTACATATATAGTCACTTATAAAGACAAACATTATATCTGGCTTTCTAGCAATAACTTCAGAAGGAAAAAACATTTCCCACAGCTCACCCCAGAGCAGTAAGGTGCATCATCAGAAGGGGGTTTTCCTAGTTAAACCATAAAATCTCACTCTCGAGACTGCTGCTGTTAGAGGTGAGTAGATGTGTTTACAACAGATGAAGCGATGGTTAAATTATTCATGTTGGCTGAAGTTCCACTTTAGGTCGACTCTGCCAACTCTGGTTTTGACTGGCAGTTAAATGGAAGTTTATCTTTACCATCCTTTTTCATTAGTTGTCCATAGAGATCACCTTTTTACATAATTTCATAATATCAGTGTACTCATCAGTGTTCTCTCTTTCTCTATTCAGGGCTTGGGCACAGATGAGGACACGCTGATTGAGATTTTGGCCTCCAGAACCAACAAAGAGATCAGAGATATCAAAAAGGCCTACAAGGATGGTAAGCTTGACCACTTTTGGCGTGATTACAATACAGTCATATGCAAACTTTTGAACATTCCCGGTCAAATCAGATGGTGAGGTGCACACTTAAAAATGGCAATTTTCAGATAAATTTAATTCACAATTTTTTTGAGTTTAACATATTGGCAGAAAAGACATATAAAATGATGGTGTAATATAAAAAGTAGCTTTTGTAATCTTTTTCAGAGGCCACATTTTATGTTCTATCTTAAATTCAGCACATAAACAGTAATTTGCATTAAAATGAGGATGTATTTGACCAGGTGTCCCCAAACTTTTGAATACGGCTGTACGTGACTCATTTGTATTTCATGTTGTGAAAGAGGTTGAGACAGCTTTCCATCCCAATGAGACTACAGTCAGTTGCACCACCAAGATTTACAGTTCATGAACATAAATCAGCATGAATGTGGTTTAAACCAGCTTGCTGTACTAAATCTGAGATGAGCACTTCTCAGCTGAGAAGCACTGAGAAACATGCAACTGATGAACGGTGTATAAGCTTCACCGTATAAACTGGTCTAAGGGCAGTTTCGCTCTTTGATACTCGTGGTGATGTACCAGGAATGAGCAACCAAACTGCGTCTGATTTTCTGCAGAATTCAAGAAGGAACTGGAGGACGACATCAAGTCTGACACGAGCGGAGACTTCAGGAACGCCCTTCTGGCTCTCTGCAAGGTGGGTTTATCTCGGCACGCAAGCAAACAAGAATGGTTTATCCGTTGCTGTGCAAGTATGTATGCGTGTGTGGAAGGAACTGAAGTATCACATCTGTTTCTCATTTCTTCCGTCAGGCTGCCAGAAGTGAAGACAAAACCGTAAACGAGGACCTGGCAGACAAGGATGCCAGGGTGAGTGTTTGTGCACACGCGTTGTATAGTAGATCTGTCTCCTCTATGCTTTTGAAAGCTTTTATTTCAAATGTGACATCATAATGACAGTCAGTATGCTACAAACTAATGCTGGCAAAGTTAGTTAAGGTCAGTGTTTCCAACTGCTCACGTAAGTCCTCGTCAGAGACGGACTGATCAGTGTTTTTGGGGCCAATACTGATCGCCAATCACCTTTCAGCACAATCTGCCGATAGCTGATGCTGATTGAGGGCAGGGCTGGATGCTGTCCAGACAAGTGCCATGATATAACAACAAAACAGCAAGTAATGGAAGCTAGGTTGTGTGTTAGCAAACTCAGTACTAGTGCAACTGCAAAGCTATAACCACAAACATTAGCAAACAGGACAAAACAATACTGACCTATTGATTCTGTGCAACAGCAAATGTTAATGTTACTTACATGTCAAGCAGAAACAGAACAACCTCCTCATCCCTTTTCATACATTTCAACCCTTGACAAAGCTGTAGTCAGCTTCTTTTTGGCAAGTTATTTTTTGAATTTTTCTGGTTCCACCTTAAATAGTGTAGCAGCTACATTCTGGTGCCTCAGCATAGCTGTTGAAATAACCGGAGCCTACACAACCGACACAGCTAACAGGACAAAACAATCCTCCTGCTTCATGGATGGGTTTTAACGTTATCCGTGCAGAAGGGCGGTGAGAAATATACTGAAAAGGCTAAAAGGGCTGACATACGATCGTTTTTGTAGTTCCGCATCTTATTTTTAAGCCGTAGGTAATTAAGCTAGTGCAGTGTAAGCTAAACTAAGATTAGCGCTCGGATGCTAACATGCTAACAGAAACCAGTCCTCAAAGCTTTGACAAAAAAAAAAACGTGTTAATTGCAGCTCTACACGTTAATACATTGAGTTTACAGCGAAATGGGAGCCAAATATGTAATATACTTCAGGAAAAATGTTGTTCTTTAGTGAAATAGATATGACGAGGCTGAAGTTGGCTTCCAATTTGCCATCTTGCTGTTCAAATTAACCTGTTTCACCTTAAATGGTGGCGAAAATATGGCTCACATGTTTTACTTTAATAATCAGCTCTTAGGAATGGCTAATTTAGAGGAATATCGGCCGATTGCCAATCGCATATTTGGGCTGAAAATTGACTGATACTGATACATAACGAATCAACCCTTATCTCTGGTCCTTATCCTGCTAAGGTAGCTCTTTCAGTCTTGTCTTCTTGGTGCCACCAAGGCTTTTTCCCTTGGGCGTCTGAATTTATCTTTGAGTTATTTTTGAGTGCCGATTATAGGTTATTGCCTGTCATAACGTATCTAGACATCTGTAATTGAAAGAATATTGCATCATCATACAAGTTGCAGGAGCTAAAATCCTGAAGAATCATATAATTATTTGGTCTGTGGAAGGGTCAGCCATATTCTGTCTTTACTACCGTTAGCTACACCGTCCAACATTGTCATGATCTCAAAAGTGAGTAGCATATCTGTGTTTGATGGGGTTAGTCAGTGTTCCCTGTTAATGATCTGGCATTTTCTCAACTAGCTAAAGCACAAGAGATCTAGAATAAACAGTTAAATTGCATAAGTCAATCATCAGTCAATGTCAACTGTCAATCCTGAACAATTCTCAACACTCCAACATGAGAGCAAAACTACAGAATTCATCCTTCAACTAACTGTCCACCTGTGACAAAATTAGTAAAGGGAGATGCTGAAAGTTTTCCTGTTGATTGTTATGTTGCATTCTCTTCTGTCCAGGCACTGTATGAGGCAGGAGAGAAGAGGAAAGGCACAGACTGTGCTGTGTTCATTGACATCCTGACCACCAGGAGTGCTCCTCAGCTCAGGAAAGGTAGCGTCTTTTACATAAACAGAGTGAGATACCAGGAACGATCCACTTTACAGAAAAAAAGGGGTGGAATTTTGACAGAGATCCTATGGAGCCCCTAAGGTGACATGGTGATTGTTTTTTAAAAAGGTGTGGCCATGAATTAATATACAAGTTAACATAAGAACACAATTTAATATATAGAGGCCATGAGTTAAAATATCAAAGCCACAAGGTAATATATTGAGGCCACAAGTTAATATGTAGAGGCCACAAGTTAATATGTAAAGACCATGAGTTAATATACAGAGGCCATGAATTAATATATAGAGGCTATGAATTAATATATCAATGCCACGAGTTAAAATAAACTGGCCACAAGTTCATATATTGAGGCCATGAGTTAATATATAGAGGTCATGAGTAAAATATCAATGTCACGAGTTAAAATATAGAGGCTACAAATCAATATATTGAGGCCATGAATAAAATATATTGAGGCCACGTGTTAAGCTTCTCTTGCCCACTTGGCCTCAATATATTAAGTTGTTGCCACGAGAAACATAATTCATGGCCTCAATATATGAACTCGTATATTCATGTCACTCATGGTGAATAATCGCCATGTCACTTTAGGGTCTCTGTAAGATCCACTTGTAAAATCGTAAATGTTGAGGGTTTTGAACATATATTAGGCTGAGTTTGTGGCCGATGATTATCAATGAAAATTCTCCAATGGGAGCATATTTTTCACTGATGTTGATCAGATGCCCATTTTCTTAAAAGTGGTTTAGAGAACAGTAAGTGCTTGACCACTGCAGTGAAACTTCTTTGGAGTATTTAAATGTTCTCTAGTACTTTTTAAGTATAATTAAATCTTACTAATATTACTTTTACATCAGTTTATTTCTAATGAAGTGCTCACCATTTGCTATTCATTTTTAGTAACTTGGAGTGGAAAAAATGCTTCTCTGAGGAACAGCTAGCTTTGGCTGGCTAATGATTCAGCTAAATAGTTACAGTGTTTGCTGATTTCATTTCAAATGATATTAAACTCTGTTTTTCCTTCCTTCTTGCCTTTCTTTGTGCCTGCCTTCCTTCCTGTCTTCTGTTCTTCCTTCCTACCTGCGTTCTGTGATGAGATATGTTATTATTGGATGAGGTAGTTGACATTTGTCCAATCGTTCTTTCCTTTTCTTTCTTTTTCTCTTTCTTTGTATAACATTTTGAACATGTAACATTTTAAAATAGCATGCACAACAGCTCTTTATTAAACCTAACGCTGTAGTTTATACGTTCTGTTGTGAGCTTCAGTCTTCAGTGTGTTTTTCATCTCGTTTTGTTTGCCCTCCAGTGTTCCAGCAGTATCAAAAGTACAGCAAGGTGGACGTGGCCAAAGCAATCGACCTGGAGCTGAAGGGAGACATTGAGAACTGCTTGACTGCCGTTGGTAAGATATTTCATGCATTCAGTCACAATTTCTTAACTCAGTGGTAATATGGTACTGGTTATGATGGATGACCTCATGGCCTCATGGTTTCCCAACTGCAAGCTTGGCGCAAAACTATCTTGCTAACTGCATGATGAAGCCATTCAGGAAAAAGCATCAGTGCACTTTTGGCATTGACACTTTGCCACATCCTTTTGTGCCTTATTTAAAGAGTTCATAAGAAGCCCCTCACTTTGCTGAACTTTCTGTCCTTTCGTTTGCCACTCCCTGTCAGGACTGCTTGATTTCAATAATAGAAGAATGACAGGAATGATGTGTTGCAACCTGCAGGGCCGTGCTGTGCTCAATGCAGCCGCACTTGCAGTGTTTGTGGAATGTTTTTGGAAGGAGTATTTGTGTGTAAAGATCGGATTTTAGTGATCGCATGCTGAAACTTTAGACACCAAACTAGGGCCATCCGATTATATTAGACAACTATTAAGTACCTAACAATAACAATAGGCTTAACTGAACAGGAAGATACAATGCAAAGCCTTTCAAAGATTCCAAAATACGGAAAAAATATAAAAAACAAAGCCTTTGAAAACTCTATATGGTAAGAAATGCAGTATATCAATTCAAATAATCCATTATTAGGTTATCTGCAGCTAGCATCAAATTCAGTTTAATGTGTTTTTAATGCTACTTTCAGAAATTGAGTTTTTGTTGCTGCTTTGAGTCATTTTGTGAACTTATCACACATTAACATATCTTTATACAGCAGTGTTTAATGCAGAAATATTTCCTATATTAGTAGCTTGAGGACCACTGCTACAATAACACTGATTTCTATGGGAAATTCCAGGGGAATCAGTGTTATGTTGGCACCAAACTAGTGCTAGTATTCACTTTCCACACAAGCTGTAATGCCACTTGGGCCAGCGTTACTTAAGCATGTAAAATATTTGAAACTTCTAACAGACGTCATTTACTTTGTATTTTACAGTATTACAGTGAGTCTGGTTATTGTTGGAGGAGCCTGTTAGCTGTCTGCTGAGCTGTTCAGCCTAAACCTAGTTAAACAAACCCTTTTACTTTGTATATATTTTTACTTCATATGTATGCAATTTGCAACAGCAAACCTTTCATTTTGCTTTATATACAGGCATTTTGTAACTACAAACATGCGTGGCATATGTAAGTTCCTACTGGTGTGGGTTTCCTCTCTTTCTATGATGCTCACAGAAGTGCTCAAATTGTGGAGAATCTGCTAAACTTGAAGTTGCAGACCAATCACTAAAGCTAATTTAGTGAGAATGTGAATTCTAATCATAAATATATATATTTTTTAATCAAGCAATTGTGGACAGCCCTACATGAATCAAGTCTTGTCTGATTGACCACATTTGGGTTCATTTGATTTTTTCAAGATGAAAATATGAATAAGAGGGTAGATTTAATACTGACGGTATTGTTGAGTACATCTCAAGGGTGTTGGTTGAATGTGATGCTCAGAAAAGATTTTAGATTCTCACTTATGCCTCTGAGGTTCTCTATATATCAAATCCCAGATTTGTAAGAGACTTTACAACTTTGTGAATTGGGTTGATCACTCATGTACTTCTGTTTTTGTCTGTCTGCTAGTGAAATGTGCTGGAAGCAAACCTGTTTTTTTTGCTGAAAAACTCAACCTGGCAATGAAGGTAAGTCTTCAGGTCTTGCCCCTCCCCAGCATAGGTTAGACAGTCATCTATATATGCACTAACAAATCGTGTAGCTGAATGCATATAAATTCAAACTATTTTTTCATTCATAGGGATCCGGCTACAGAGGCAAGATCCTGACCCGTATCTTGGTGAGCCGCTCTGAGGTGGATTTGGTGCAGATCAAACAGGAGTACAAGAAGAAGTACGGCAAGACTCTCTACAAGGACATTTTGGTAGGTTCAACTATTGAGTGCCAAAGAGTAACAATAGGCACAACTGAACAATAACATACTATGCAAAGCCTTTGTGGGATTCCAAAATACTTAAATATTAAAAACAAGGCTTTTGAAATGTAGTATGACAATTTGAAGTATGCATTATGAGGTTATCTGCAGGTAGCACGTATTCAATTTAATGTGTTTTTGATGCAGCTCTAAGAAATTGAGACTTTTATTGCTTTGAGTCATTTTGTGAACTTGCACACCTGCACATATCTTTATACCACAGTGTTTAATGTAGAAATCTTTATTTTAACAGTAGCTTGAGTACCACTCCTACGGTAGTGATGAACACTATGGGAAATTCTAAGGGAATTGCAATGTTATGTTGGTGCCGAGCTGGTGTTAGTACTCACTTTTCACAAAGGCTTTAATAGGCCAGCTCTGCTTCAGCACAGACTTGTATTGTATTGTAGGTTCTGATTAGTAGATGGCATTGACTACATTAAAGGGGCATTCCGGCCTAAAACTAGCATATAATTCGATCAGTTATTTGCTGTGTTGTTTAGTATTCTGTAGTGCAACATTTGCATCCCTCCATTTAGGCCCATACCATCCAATGGGTTTTATGGGCACCTTACTGGCCTGAGCCACTAGGGGCCCCCCTTGAGTAAATTCTGAGAATTTCCATTCTGAGAAAATCTTAACAGCTGTATTGACTCACGGCACAGCTTGTCTGTCCACATCTTTTCTGGATGTCCACTTCATTTTGTCCTGCAATCACTGCTTTGCAGCCGTTCGACTGTCCATCATTACCTTGGTCAAGCTTTCAGTGTTTTAGCATTGAGCTAGTGTTCCTGTGAATATACTTTCACTTTAAAGCTCCAGATATTCAATAGATGTGTCTAAGGGGTGTGTGTAAATGTGAGACCTGATACTTCGACAAAGTAGAGGATGCCCATTTCCAAAGCCAAATATAAAATGTCATTTAAGTTAAAGAAAACAATAATTTGTCTAGTGATCTGCGACCTGTCCTCAAAGGTAAGATATAAATGGTAAGGTATAAACCCATCGTGGCAGTATTGCAAGAATGCTTGTCAGTTTGTACATCTTTATTATGTACATTTCAGCTGTCCGATTTAAATTCCAGTCATCTTCATTGGGGTAAATGTTTTGCTTACAGAGGTGGAGAGTGGATGCATGCTTTACAGGGAATTGTTGCGTTGGTAGTTAGGTTGATGTTAACCTGTGCACTCGTTAATGTGTGTGTAATATTGCCATTGTTTTGTCTCGATTGGAAAAAAATATGCGCTTGTAGTAGTGACGTGCCCAATGCTAAGGTCAGTATGCTACCTTTGTGGTTCTGCATAGTCCTCATTTAACCTGCTGCGTCCACTTAGTGTCCACTCCGTTAGACACTCCTGTCTTTTTGATGCACCTTCTAGATGTAAAGTCAGAGATGATAGCTCATCTGCTGCTGCACAGTTTGTGTTGGTCATCCTCTAGTCCTTCATCAGTGGTCACATAATGCTGCCCACAGGACACTGTTGGTTCCAATCACAGATTCTATCATAGCAACATACAGTGTGCTGCAGCTGAGCTTCGGCCTGCACTATTGTAGATGGATTGAAGGGTCCAAATTGTACATGTCTACCAAGAATGTTACAGTCAATTTAGTAGGGAAAGCCCTGCTGTTCAGATGCTATTTTACTGTCTTGAATGTGTGGTCTGTTGTTAAAGGATGACACCAAAGGAGACTACGAGAAGATCCTGCTGGCCTTGGTCGGAAGCGATGAGTAAAGACGTGTATTCTCTCTTTCTGTCCTCAACGAAGATGGAAGCGAGTCAATTTCTGCTAAGTTTCTGCCAACAAACAACTTGGGATGAAGAAGGAATATAATCGAGACTTAAGTGATGAATAAATCTTTTGTTCAGTGCCATTTCCGTGTCCTGTGGTTTGTTAGCGTAAATAGCTTCAGTAACAAAAAGGTTGTAGTACTTAAACTACAAGATGATAATAGACTGAGTCATTCTGAAAGAGGACGGTGGGAACGGTGAAGAATGGTGTGAGTGGGTGTGTGAAGTTGATGCTATCAGTTGGGGCTTCAATGTAAGGCTCAGTATCTTGTGGTAGAAAACAAAAGAGTCTACATTCCTCCTTTGCAATCTTGAGGAATGCAGGCAACACCCTGCTGTTAGAACATGAAAGAACACAGAAAATTAGGGAGAGGTGTAGCAGAGCCTCTTTGATGGCTGATTAATTATGGTGTAGTACAGAAAGTTTATTGGGAGATGGCTACTGGGGACTGATGTCAATTAAAAATGTCCCATGGCACAAGAAACTTTGTGCATATTTCCAGGGTCTAAATTTCTATACAAGTGAGTACACCAATCAGCCAGTTCATTAAATACACCTCCTCAGCTTAACACTGACATACTACTAGAATCCCATAGGGGTACTAGCAGAAATGAGTGTTATTATGGAGCCGTGTTTTTTATCTCTTTTTTTTTTGACTTTATGGCCCAAACTGAAGGCCTAACTGTAGTAGTGACGGTCCACCACTGTCTGAATGCTATGATGAACTAAAAAAGTTCAGCAAGTGAACATAAATTGGAACTGTTAAGTAGTTAAAAGTTAAAAAAAAGTGATGCATAATTTTGCACAAAATTACATACACTTAATGGCATTTCTTTTCTCAACTATCTGTGTATATGAATTTTACTCCTTGGACAGCACTATGACACTAAGCCCTGCCAGAAAAAGTTTGTTGGTGTTCATTTTTGTAAAATAATTCATTTTTTGGTCACATTTGAAGCTACAGATACAAGGTTTTCATCAGTTGGTATATATACTACGTAAACATTGCTAAATCTTAAAATATATGGTGACACTTTATTTAAAGGCTACCTACATTTGGATGTCATAACACATGCATAAGCATTGAATAACATAAAGCAATACGTGAGTATTCATAAACAGCTTATGCCAGCAATTTCAAGATACTATAAACTGAAAGAAATGACACTGAGTGTGTGAACATGCACTCAATAATCTGATCATAACCAAATTTCTGCAATTATCCGACTATTCAAATGATCATGTAAACAGCATATTCAGATTTCTTAGATTTGAGAACAGTCTAGAAATCCGAGTAAGAAATCTGATGAAAAGAGCTGGATTTTAGCTCAGTAATCAGATTTCTCAGTGCATGTTAACTCTTACTCTGATTTCTTTCAGATTTCTCAGTCTGTGCATGTGTGAAACAGACAGCGGTACCAGAAATTAGCAAGCAGCGTTGCCACAAGATGGCAGCAAAACTCTTTTGGAGTGACACTGAAACCAAATAAATGCTTGACGAAATGAAGGATTTAAATTTTCTTCATCTTCTAGATGGAGTGGCGCAAGGTTTTTTTATTTTTTTGTTTTGTTTTTTTACATCACGTCTTATTCTGTGAGTTTATTGGCCGGTTGCACAGCAGAAATCCAATTACTGTCTGACTCATGTAGACCTGAAGTTTCCCCCATTATCTGATTACTGAAGTGCATGTAAATGCATTGATTGGATTACTGGCGAAATCTGATTTTCTACAGTTATTGGATTATTAAGTGCATGTAAACACACTCAGTAATGACTTGTGGGTTTTGTACTTTAACTTAAGTAGAATTATGTGCAATAGATATAAACTACTAAACTGGACCCTCCTACATGTGAATGATGCTACTTAATAATATTGTAAATGGAACTGTCCATAGTTTAGGGTCTCTTATATCAATGGAATGTAATTTACCTCATTTACCTTACTAGCATAAGCTTGTCATAAATACTCAAATATTCTTTCGTAAATATGTTATTTAGTGCTTATGCTTGGGTTATGTAGTACCTACGTAGGTAGCCTTCAAATAAAGTGTTAACAAACATACTGTCCATAGATACCATATATAGAAATGAAGCTGCAACAGCCTGTTTTGTATTTGTTGTTTTTGTGACGTCAAGAAAACAAATGCATTTACATATATCTGCCTATTCATTCTACAGCAGTTCAGCTCCGCCCATTAACACTGAAGTTATAAGAAGTATTTCAGCTTGGACTGCTTTCTGAATGAGGCACAACACAGAAAAGCCAATCAGAACAGATATGTGTCATATACATATACACCATATGGCCAAAAGTATCTTAATTATTGTGTTCAAGTGTTTTAGCCACACCCTTGCAACATAACCTTGCAATCTCCATAGATGAACACTGGCAGTGGAATGGGTTGTACTGATGAGCTTAGTGACTTTAATCGTGCGCTGTCGTACCATCTTTGCCACAAGTCAGTTCCCAAAATTTGTGCCCTGCTAGATCTGCCCCAGACAACTGTAAGTGTTATTATGTTGAAATGGAAGCATCTAGAGGCAACAACAGCTCAGCCATGAAGTGTTAGACCATGTAAAATAACAGAGCAGGCCTCTTCCAGTGAAGGGTAATGTTAATGCTACAGCATATGAAGATATTTTAGACAATTATATGCTTCCAACTTTGTGGCGTCGGTTTGGGCAAGGCCTTGTTCCAGCATGACTGAGCCCCTGTGCTCATAGCGAGCTCCATAAAGTCATGGTTTGACAAGTTTGGTGTGGAGAAACTCTGAGCCATGACCTCAACCCCACTGAACAGCTTTGGGATGAGCTGGAACGTTGATTGTGAGCCAGGCCTCAACATCAGTGCCTGACCTCACAAAGTGCAGAGTAGTAATCTCAACATTTTTAGCGTATGAATACATATTAATATATCTATCTGAGGAAAAACAGTGAGAGAACATACGGCTTAAAAGAGGAACCCAGCCTCCTCTGGGCTGTTTTGGATAAGTTAAATGAAATCTTGACTCAGTGTTGAGTAGATTAAGCCATTCTTCCTTAGTAACTCGGGGCATTTTAAATTTTTTTGTATAATTCGGTTCCATTCCTCTGAGGAACTACCGAGAGGAACCAAGACTTAAAAGGAGGAAGTCTAAGACCTAAGGGTGTTACAATTTTAGTACAGTTTTGAAAAAACATGAACAAACACTCAAAACAGTGAACGTTCAGTGTCCATTCTACTCTGAGTGTCTGTCATTCAGCATCTTCTGTGAAGGCCGCTGTGAATGATCAGGTCATTGATAAATATTTCAGACAAAAAATCAAAACAGTAACTTACAGTTAATCCTATCAGACTCTCTGTATATTTTGCACATGTATAAGATCACTATTTTGCATGAACACATACTACTTTGCTGTCTTTGTAAAATTTGTATTTTTCTGATCAACAAATTTAGCTACAACTCAGTAGCATCGAGACATTTAAAAACTATGGAAGAAAGTTTCAGCCGCTGAACAAAGACAATTAGTAAGTTATAATAATTAGAATGATTCTCATAATTATGATCTAGCATCTCATTATTATGACTTGCAATCCCATAATAATGAGACAATAGCTCAGAATTATTATTTAGTATCTCAATTATGAATTACGGTCTCATAATAATTAGATTGTCTCATAATTTCGACTTAGTATCATAATTATGACTTGCTGTCTTATAGTAGTGAAATTCTGTCTCATTCTGAATTAGGATCTCATGATTTTCTATCTTATGATAAGATAATATGGCGAAAGTTTCTCAGTTATGACTTAGCATCTCATAATTACAACTTACTACTTCAAAATTATGACTTTGTATCTCATAATAATGACTTAGCAGCTCATTAATATGACTTAATATCTCACAATTATGACTTAGTATCCCATAATTATGGCTTACATTCTCATAATCGACTTAGTATCTCATAATAATGACTTACTATATCCTAACTGTGACTTACTATATCATAATAATGACTTAGCAGCTCATTAATATGACTTACTATCCCATAATTATGACTTAACATCCCATAACTATAACTTAGTTTCTCATCATTGTGACCTAGTATCTCATAATAATGACTTACTAGCTCATAATTATGACCTAGTATCTCATAATAATGTCAAGTTAACACACCCAGAAGTCACAGAAGTGAGTCAGTCTTCCTGAAGAAACCCCCTCGTTGTAATACTTGGCTCATTCGACGTGGAGGCGCTGTTGAGTCATCAGCCCTGACGGGCTTTTCCACTCGAGGGCGCTGATTGGCTCAGAGGGCCTGACGTCACCGCGCAGTGACGCGCTGGTACACGGAGGCTGTGCTGAGAGGAGACCGTGGCGGCAACGGACGGAGGCTGAATGAAACCCGACTGTAAATTTCTTTCACACAAGCTTCGTAAAAACAGCCAAAACGCTGCATGTGTAGTGAATACAACGTGTGACTTTGTCTTTGGGACGGAAGCGACTCGCTCAGTATGCAGTTATTTGGGTAGAAAACGTTTGGCAGAGTCGCTAGCGTTAGCAGAAACGGCCAGTGTTGGTGTTTCTGCTCCTTCCGTCGCTTCTCCTGTGTTATTTTCTTGTATATTAAAGACTGACAGTTGAATAATCATCGTTTGCTAAGGGTTTACCCCATAGATTTGAACTTAAAGTGATTAAAACGTGCGTAAGTGGAGAACTAAGAGGAAAATGAAGCTGAAGTTGGCTTCTTATTTTCCGTTCCACCTTAAATTTTGCAGCAGCTGCGTTGTGACATCTGCACAGTCGCCAGTAAGTGCTGCGCCATTTAAGGTGGAACGGAAATTAGGCATGTAAATGCTGTACTTTGGGATATGATTTTTTGAATATAAATAAATGAGCTGGTTCAAGTAACGTTGCATTAGTCAGTTGTCAGTAAAATTTCAGTTAAAACGTCTCTGACCTTCAGCAAATGTTTTTACTTTCATGAATACTTTTGTTATCAATGCTATTGTTGTTGCTGTTATTGATATCAGTGTTATTTTAGCTTATACTGTGTATATCATAATTCTGACTTAATATTCCATAATTTTGACTTAGCAGCTCATAAATACTGCTTAGTTCCTCATTATTATGACCTAGTATCTCATAATAGTGACTTACGACCTCATTATGTCTTAGTATCTCATAATAATGTCTTAGCATCTGATACGGAATGGAAATTAGGCATGTACATGCTGTTCGTTGGGATATGATTTTTTGAATATAAATAAATGAGCTGGTTCGAGTAACGTTGCATGAGTCGTTGTCAGTAAAATTTCAGTTAAAAAGTCTCTTGATCTTAAGCAAATGTTACTACTTTTATTAGTACTTGTATTATTAATGTTATTGTTGTTGCTATTACAGTGTTTTTTTAGCTTATACTGTGTGTGTTGTGAGATGATAGCCAGTCTTGTTTATTTGTTCAGATAAAGACCATGACCTGAAGGTTCAACCCACTGCACTCCTCCCTTCCCTCCCTCCCTCCGCGATGAATGACAAGCTGGTGTTTCTTGGGCTGCTCTACTTCATCCAGGGCATCCCATATGGCCTGCAGTCATCCCTGCTGCCCGTGTACCTGCGCGGCGCCGGCCACTCCCTCACCCGCATCAGCCTGACCAAGGTGCTCTACTTCCCCTGGGTGCTCAAGGTTCTCTGGGCGCCCTTGGTGGACCGAACGGGCACCAAGCGGTGCTGGCTGGTGGCCACTGTGGCCGGCCTGGCCCTCACATGCCTGGCTAGCGCCACTGTGGCACCCGAGTCGCAGTACGCAGCGGTGGCGGGCTCCCTGCTGGCCATGAACGTGCTGGCCTCGGTGCAGGACATTGCAGTGGACGGGGCGGCCGTGCGCCTGCTGCGGGGGCAGGGCGAGCTGGGGCTGGGCAACACCGCTCAGGTGGTGGGCTACAAGGCCGGCTCTGTGTTTGCTGGAGGCGGGTTGCTGGCAGTCATCGATGTGGCTGGCTGGGGCTGGATGTTCACCCTGCTGGCCTGCGTCTATGGAGGGGTAGCACTGTTCGTGTGGGGCGCCCCCTGTGCTGGACGGGGAGCCAGGCCGGGCACAGGGTGAAACACGCAGGGGCTCCCGTGATGTTGTGCGGCCATGGAGGGTCTGGAGGAAGCTGATGGATGTGCCCGGGACACCGTGGACCATGCTTTATGTGCTTACTTATAAGCTAGGTGAGTGAGTGAACACCCAGTGCATGCTCAGTACCAGTGCACATAGTGACATCAATATCTGAGCTGCAACTAATGATTGTTTCTGCGGATCGTTAACATCTTCACAAAATTTTGAATAACAAGCTGATCAAACCACTTAACCTTGTGCTGTTCCCTCTCACTTGGCTATATCCTGGCACTAGTTATAACTGTATAACAGACTTATTTTTTATGGTGTGACAAAACAACAGGAGCCATATCGTTATACATATCGTCTCTACATCTCTTCTTATGTCAATCTTGAACTAGGTGGGCCTCGTCAAGACCTCGTCAAGGCTCATGAATTCATGTTAGTCCAGATTGTTATTGAGGGAGCGAATGTAACATCGTAGGAATACACGGTCTCTTGGGGTAATGATAGCTTTTACCCTTGGTTTAGCCTTTAGCGTAGCAGCTTGCTAGCTGTATCACATAGCAGCGTGGTCTCGCGGCCTGTTGCCTCAACGAAGCCGTGAAATCCTCTGAAAACACCTGCCATTAACAGCGTGATTTGTGTTATTGTAATATAGTTGCTGTCAGAACGGCATCTCATATATCTATAGTTCAGAAAGTAAATGCCATTTATTCAAGCTTAAAATGTTTGTATGTGACACAGAACACAGCTTTTACCAAAACAGAATTAAAAGTGGAATTGTGTAAATACCAGGATAGAGTTAGTATCAGTGTCAGAAGGGGAAAAAGTGGTATTGGTGCATCCTTAGTTAAAAAACACTAATACAGAAACTGCAGTACAGGGTTGTGCATGACCTAGTAGTGGGCTGTATGGGCAATAATTTGTATCATGGTAGAATTAGGATTACTGATGGTTTTGTTTTATATCATGGTATAGTGTATTCATTTATATTTTTTTCAAATAAAGCCATTTTGGATGCTAAAGTAAAAACCTTTTTTTGTAGATTGACAATGGCATATTATTCTGGATGTCCATTTTAATAAGAACAATATTTAACAACTGCAGTAAATCTAAAATATTTTTATTGAGCGAAGTAGTAAAAATGAAAATGAACATTATATAGACATATGCCAATATTGCTTTCTTAACCCTTTTGAGATGAAGGCGATTGTGTGTAAAGCCCACAGTGGCTACACTGAGCGGTACAAAGCTGAAGTTGGCTTCATAATTGCCAGCTTCTTGTTTGAATGTTCCTGTTCCACCTTAAATGAGGCAGCAGTTACCTTAACTATTTAAGATGGAAGAGGAAAATTTGAATATGAGGCCAACTTCAGCCTCTTAAAAACGACGCTGAATGTTGTTTTATGTCCGAAAGTCATTTGTGTCATATGTGTGTCTCTCAAGCTTTAATCTCTGACCATCAGACGCTGCTGGAATTTAGTAAATAATACAGCTGTTCGCACAGTTTTAGCTGAGAAGCTGCGGAGCCTCTCTGCTTGTAGCCCAAGACCGCGGTGTTGCCTGAAGCAGCTGGCTTAGCAAGGAGTGCTGCACATGGAAAGCAGACTAGTCTCTACGCTAGGCTAATGGCTAACGGCTAACCCTAAAAGACTGGCTTTTACTTCCACTCCTTGTTAACTTATTAACTCATTACAGTCTGATGTCTGCTCCATTGACAATAAACTGATGTAACTTACCTCAGGCTGGAACTCTCTACATGAGAGGTGAGGCAATCAGCATGTTTTGCATTGTTTGTACTAGAGATGAAACGGTTACCAGTTTCAGGGTAAACCGCTGTAAAATTAATGACAGTTAGTAGTACCGCTTGAACTTTAAAGTATCGTTAAAACCGCGGTCGATTACCGCGGTGTGAAAACTCGGAGATTCAGAGATATTTCAGCCTTCTAAGAAGACCAAGTCTGACGTTTGGTCATGTTTTGGGTTTTATAAGGATGCAGAAGGAAAGTTAATTGAAGATGACCACCCTGTCTGCAGAACATGCCGAAAGAAAATAGCGGCGAAAGGGGGCAACACATCAAACTTTACGAGTCATTTCGCGACCACCACCCGCTACTTTTTAGAGAATGCAAGGTTAACTTTAACATAGAAGTCTGTGGGGACTTCGAAATAGAAGAAATGTCACGGTTTGTGTGGTTTAACCTATGCTTATGGTTTGTTAATAATATAAAATGAAGCTTTTAGCGTCAAAAAATAAAAGAAAAAAGAAAAACAATCAGTGAATCAACTGTGAATCGAAACTAAAGCTTTTAACACATTTCTGTGGAGCAGAGTCTCCAAAATGAGCTCTGAGTTAAGTCACACAAGCTCTGGAACGAGACGCTGCAGAGGTTCAATCTGCACAGCTCCCCTTTCTCGTCTAGCTTGCAGTGTTTACTGTCTGAGAGGAGAGTAACACCGTCTCAAATCAATCAATGTCCCCTACATAGGGCACTACTGTTCAAACAAACACGATCATCATTAACAAGCAGCTGAGTTTTAAATAGGGAATTTGTAACCTGTTGTTAATGTTGATTATAGATGACTTAGTCGAACGTTTCTTGCACTCTTTGGGTGAAGGATTTGCTATTTCATGATCCACGAAGTGCACTACATAGGGAAGATGTGTGCTTTGAGACGGGACCTTGCGCGAGTAAACGCTGTGTGCTGCTTTCAGGAAAAGCAGAGTTTCAGAGATTAAACTTTAGGAGTGTTTCTGCCGCAGCTCAGATGCACGTTAATTTTAAGTTATGTTTTAGTTTTAAAATGCTTTTAGAGAAGCAGCTCCACAGGTGAACTCACACTGTGTGAGTTCTACACTGTCTGCAGCTCACAGCGCGGTCACGCAATTCCTCTGTGATTTTGGCTGTTTTTCCTGGTGCACTGTATTGATTAGGGGTTCAGCGCCACAACGGCACAATAATGCTGCAGATGCAGTTCGGACAGAAATCCCCCGAGTGCAGCACTTCTTAGAAGTAGTAATTTTCCATTAAGACCCACCTCAGAGTTGGTCAAGATTTAATTCTCTATGCAGGGAAATCCCTAGTTATTGTAATTAATAATAATAATATTAATAATAACAACAGTAAAAATAATAATATAATAAGAATAACAGTAATAATAATAATAATAATAATAATAACAATAATAATACATTTGCTATTCTTTTGTTTACAGAGTATTACAAGTATTGTAAGTAATACGAAAAGTAATACTAAAAATGTATTGACCTTATTTTTTTAATTGTTTATGCAAACAAAAAGTGCGTAATATAATATAAATATATATGTATGTTATATATATGTTAATATAAAAGTTGGTGAAACGAGTTTCAGTTTGTGTATCAGTATTTATTTTTTTATTTATTTTACTTTTCAAAACATTTGAACAATATCGCGATAATACCGATAATCGTGATAATTTTGGTCATGATATCGTTTCATCTCTAGTTTGTACTTTGCGCCATCTGCATTTATTTACATACCGTTATAACGGTAATGATAAAATTAACACCTTAAGAAGAACTTCAACTGGTATGTCGGGTCGCACGATTATCAGGCACATATATAACAGAGAATATACATCGACTACAGAAATCAACACAAAGAGATACTAATATCTTCTTAAAACTGTAGTCAAAAGTGGAAAAGAGTGCATGACGGTCTGCTTTTCAGCTATTTCTGCTTTTAGTTTGGCAGGTAGAATAAGCAGTGCTGGCTGAAGGGAAGAGCTGCATTTTGAATCTGAAACTCAGCTAAACTGCTTTATCAGGGTTGCTTGTATGCTAATGCGCACAGACTAGCTTGAATGTTTTGCTGTTTTTCTCTGCTTTGCCCTTAGTGCCTGAATAATCCTTGCATTTTAAATTTGAATGAAACATTATTGCCAACATCTGCAAGTTTTAGCTTCCCAAAAAAGTAATCAGTTAATCAAAGTCATAATAGACCAGCTAATCGATACGTTTGTCGATATGATGCTTGTTGCAGCTCTAATCCAGGGTAGTCAGTAAAGGAGGCAGTGATATGAAGTGCATAGAGATTCTGCTGAGATCTATAACATAAAGAGCTTAAGCAGCAGCTCACACTGATCCAATGTCCAGTATCGCAGAGCAATTCTAAACTACCTCCTGAAACTGAAACCAAACGCTCTGTTATCAGTTTCCCTTAGTTTATGGTATGTGGTGTATTCTATGTCCTGTATCAGTATACGTACTAGTGCACTACGGCAGAGGAGGCCTGCAGTAATCTAACCCTAGATTCTGCTGATTGTAGTTCTTCACTCAAGACTTGTTTACTGTGATATTATACACATAACTTTGCTATTATATGTATACTTACAATTTCTTACCTTAAAACCCTGAGGAACATTGATTCTTCAGCACACAGCCTGGTTGGGTCATTGTTTGGATTGGGATTGAATTTAGTGTGTAGGGGGTGGAATGAAGCAAAACCTTGGCACAGGCCAGAATTGTACTGTACATTTTGTATTTTATGTCTTGGTTTTTCCAGCATGTTGAACCCAAATAAATAGAAACTGTGCTCTAAAATGTGCAGGAAAGATGGCTTTAAAAGTTTAAAATGTCTCTGTAGGGGACATTTTAACTTATTTTCACTTAGAAAATCAACAACACATCATTTGATGGGAGGAGTTCAAACTTTTGCATACAACTGTATGAATAAAACTGAAAGGCTGTGAAACTGAAAGTGTGAAAGGTGCTTTATAAAGAAAACATATTATTAGTTGTAGTAGAATTGTTAGTCGTACTACTGCTATCTAATGTAATGAACCAACCTATTACCTTTGTTATTACTTGTTATTACCAACCTATTGCTTGTTTTTGTAAGTGCAGTCAGATTTTTTCATTTTACTTTACCTTTATTTTACCAGGGTAGGCATTGAGATTCACGTCTCTTTTGCAAGTGAGTTCTAGCCAAGAAGGCAGCACATAACAACCAAAAGAAGAAAAAAAAGAATTGAAAACAAAAGCAAACATAGTGATACATTCTTCAACAGTTATCTTAGTCGGTCAAGGAGATAAATTGCTTCATTTTCAAATGATACCACATATTTT